AGTGGAGCATCGTGAGGAGATGCAGGCCCATGGAAGCCGGTGACCAAAAGTTGGTTCATACGCCATTTGTTCCTTCAGGATACTGGAGCCCATGTGCACCATAGAATCGGGATCCGGTTATAGCGCCGGACGTTCGCTTTTCGTCCTCTCATTTTCGTAAACAACACCCCCGCCACGTGAAGGCAGTGAGTAGGACTTCCCTGGTAGAGGCTGTATACGCGTGGCCGTGTGAGAGTATTTCGAGAGGGAGGGCGAACCCTCCCCGCTCTCGGCCATACCAGGGCGTTTGGGGGCAAGGTGGCTAGTAGTGGAATCTAGAATGCATGTTTTGTTCTATTTAAGCTTTGTCAACTTGATGTACTTGTATCTCAGAGTTGATGTTCACTCCGGGACTAAAATTTTGTGATTAAAATTCAATATCAAAGTAATCCGTTCAGAATACATAGATATCAGTAAAGACTGATCAGTTGTGGTTTAGAATGTCAAAAATCCTAATAAAACAAACTTTAAGGAATGATACAAACATACATATTGATCCTTTTTTTATGACTACTCTTCAATTTTTACATAATAGTAAAATCGATATTAAAAGGTAATATATTTATAAATTGATTTTGGCAAAAATTCTGAATTATTTTGTCATATTTATATTTTGATAAATTTATCTTTGATAATGATTTTGTTCAGAGGTATTTAGGATCAATTAACTTGTAATAAAAACAATTAGACGTTCACACCCTTGTTTTACTGCATTTTTTATCTTCCCTGTCGAAATTGTCAGAGAATTAAAGAAATCTGTAACATTAACATTAATTTACTATCGATTACCCCGACGAGCGATATTTTATGGTGTAGGAGTAGGTTGGAAGAAAGCTAGAGGTGGCCAGATCAAAACATGGCACAAATTCATGAAGTCACTGTCAATTGGACTGAACCATGTTAATAAGTTTAGACTATCTGGTTGGGATCCACGAGATGATAGCAACCGATGGTTAGACACCTTAAATGACATGGCTCAACATCGTTTGCAATGGCGCAGGTGCATCCACTCTTTGTGTTCTCCAAAATTCTAATCTTCTGAATTCTTCATGTTTCTTTTTTCTCTTTCTAAATTTATTTCACTAGGTTATACTTCTTGAATAACATCTTCAAACCGATTACTGTATATACTTTTAGTACCTCTACCACTGTAGGATTTGAATCGACAATTGTATCTGTGTGCTAATGTGGTATGGCAAGTCGAATTGATGTATGTGCGTACGAAGTTTTACGTTGTTTTTGACTGACTGAAATCATATTTCATTGAAGTTAGTATCAATCATAGCTATGTTGACTAAAATACTAAGTGTATCACAAAAATAACACATTTGATTAATCCGTTAGTTGGACGCAAATATCAAACCTGGTACATATACATTGATTCAAATTGTTAGACCTCATTAACACAGCTAGATGAAATTTTCAGCGTGGATGCCAACGTCGTAAAATTAGTAACAGTGTTAATGATAATAAAGGATTTACAACATAATACAAAATTATCGCCTTTTCGTCAGTTAAATATAACAAACTGAAGATCTCGATATATATACCGTCATATTAATAAAAGCTGGTTCATAATTACTGTTCTTATCAATTGTTTTAGCTTGAAACATTGAAGTGTTGCAACATGGTTGTTTGCCAAATCATCAGTTGTTTTATGACCTTGACTTTTATATTTAAAAAGTTATTTGTTATTTGATAAATTATAATATCTGACTGGACTATTTCATGTATGATTTGCGATGGCAACTTGGACCGATGCATGTATGTGCCTGGTCCTACGTTGTAACCGACTGACTAACTGACTGAATATATTTGACCGAACGGTTAATAGTTTAATCTTATCTAATCTATTCGGTTGATATTTGTTAAATAGTTTAGTGAGCAAGTTTTCACTTTGCCTATTGCAAGCATTTCGCTAATCCTATCAATTGATTTTAGCATTTATATTACAAAGAATAGAGAACCCTTATTTAGGAGATGAGACACGTAATCAAGTATGAAAATTCGCTTCTTGTTAAACCACTTCATTGTTGCTATTCTATTACTCTTATGCATCCCTGTTTTCAAAAACATTTTCTTTTTAAATATACATATTCTAAATATTTCATTTATGAATTAAGCGTATGGAGATAAACATGAAGAGTGAACGGGTTTAGGCTAGTGTAACCGATTCTGAGCCTTGTCACTCATTGTCTGTAATAACCGTTCACGGTTACCTCACGGACATCAATCAGGTCGTCTAGATCTACTAACACAATCCACTCAAGAACTTACTAGTCTGTTGCTACATCTTGAATCGGATGTTACTAACTTTCTTCTAACCTACTTCTACTCCAATGAATGTTGTGCATCAAAGTGGGCTGTATTTGTGCATATCTAGCATAGGTCTCAGCCTCATCAATAAACCCGGCCTTTTTGTTATTAGTATTTGATGATGTGTTATGCTCGTTAGATCTCGTTGTATTTGTTCATCCGAATGTAATTAAAAATGTGTTGATGGATTGATTCAGTGTACATTGGTAACGATAGTCACGAAACCATTGACTCTAGTGATGGTCTTTACGGTCATTATAATAAACCAGCTATTCTCTTTAATGTTATTGTTTTAAAGACGTTTGTTTAAAGACAATTATTTTGTACGATTTCATTGAAAGGCATTAAACATGCGTTAAACCTTTCTTCAACTTTCTTAGTCAAAGATTTCAATGTATAGAATAATGAGTACTATGGATTTCATACTGCAACAACTTTTCAAGTTCAATCGATAAAATAAATCTGGTTCACAATTCGTTGATCGTTCTCTAAAGATTTATTTTTTTCCATAACTCATTCACCAGGTACTTGGGTACGAGCCACACTTTTAGCCTAAATGTTAATCATACTACCTACTCGCCTAGACCAAAATAGGCGGGACGAGGTTCGAGTCTAGGACTGAATGTTGAGCATCTTAAGCGCTTAACTATCAATTGAGAGTATTTCATCATTTCTGTTTAAATGTTTCCAAATAGATTATCATATTTTCATAGTTCGAATTACGTACCGATCTCAGCTAGACTATCACGGAGAAACATGAGAGACTAGATAACTGTTTAGTCTTAGTATGGGACGACTCAGAAGTGCGTGCCTGCAACCTCTCATCCAGGAACGGATTCCTAGACCTCAGATCTCGCGCGCAAACGCAAACTTCAATCGAGCTATGATGTTACACAAACAAACTGTCTCACATTCTCCGTAATTGAACTCCACATCATCGTATATCAGTAATCACTTTTGATTTTCAAACTTACTACTGTATCAGTATTGAAATGAACTCATTGCCTTTAAAGTATCAATAACTGAATTCGCTCACCCGTTTTTACCGATTCGATTATTTATACATAATATCAATAAATTTCCTTCATTTGTTGATATTTTTATGATTGAATTCATCATTGAGTGGTACCACTTCAAGTTTGCTAATGAAAATTATCTAAGAATAGACTTATTAAATAATGCAAAATTAGATAATCGACTGTTTGATTGTACGAACAATATCAGTAATAAGCATAATACCCTTGAATATTTTCAGTTTGAATATGAAAACACCGATAAAGCTAAATTGATCAAGGCCTCGGTTGAATGATTTCTGAAATGGAAATTGATTCAGTCAGCTACAACATAGGACCTGCCACATATATGCATCGGTCCAAGTTGCCATACCTCATTAGTACAACAAGATGAACACCGAATTCATAAAGTAGTTAATTCAATGGTAGTAATATATAAAAGAAAGATTGCATATACGTCTGTAGTACAGGAAGAAAGAACTAGTTGGTAGAAAGAAAGATATGAAGTGATTTTAATCTCATATTTTAAGGGAAGACAGACAATGTATACACCTACGCGATTGTGATCGATTCTGAGCCATGTCACCCAGAGTTTCCAACCATTGGTAACGATAGTCACGCGGACACCAACCAAGTAGTCTGCATCTACCAACATGGGTGAGAGTAGAAGTTAGTGACTTTGTGAACTTATGCCATATTTTGGTTTGGCCGCCTCTAACCTTCCAACCATCCCCAACACCGGTTAGCATTGTGCGTCTTGGTAATCGGTGTTCAGACATACAAGACACATGGCTCAACTATCTTAATCGATAAAGATTCACAACCTCATCAACTGATTTACCATCATTCCCTAATACCCAGCGTTTAACCTCACTATTACTTACCCGGTGATCCCAACAGATATGAGCAATATTTTTAAGGCACCTGTGGTCAAGCACTAGTAACTTACGAGTATCTTTTACTCTTAAAGGCCATGTTTCGCAGCCATATAGTAGAACGGAACGAACTGCCGTGCAGTATACTCGTCCCTTAATTGATAGACGGATATCTCGCTTTCGCCGTGAGTGACGTAAGTTGGCGAAAGCCAAACGAGCTTTTCGAATCCGTGCTGAGATTTCGTCAGACACCAACCCATTAGGGCTGATCAGACTTCCAAGATAAATGAAGTTGTCAACGCGTTTGACTTCTTCACTTCTTACCCTTAATTTAGGTGTTGATGCAGGCCAGTCCTGATACAAGAACTTGCATTTAGAGGGGGAGAAACTCATTCCAAACATCCTCGCATTGTTTATTTGATTAGTCAACATTTATTGGATGACTTTTTAACAGAGCACTCACTTAATCTCAATATGAAGACCAATTGACTGTCTGTTACAAAACTGTCAATTCTGTGCATCATTTGCAACTATAACTTATCATACAATTGTTTGGTTTTTGGTTTCTTTCAAAATGTCAACTCAATTCGTGTTTATTCCTTCCTTGTAGAATTATTAGGTAATCACTGTATGAAATATATTCCTTGAAATAAACACTTCTAACACTACTATACTGGTTAGGTTGAATAGTATAGTAAAATTTCTAGAAACTATTCTATTTTCATTTATTTGTTTGCTTTATATCATTTATTTTCAGTGATTCAGAATGGTGGTTGGTTGAACATTCTGGACAAGTTGGTTACATTCCATCATCTTATTTAGCTCAAGCTAATTCTGTTGAAGCTGAAGAGTGAGTTATCTTAATCTTAATGTTTATTCATGCATCAATTAATCTCGTTTTTAATGAAATAAAACTAACAACTACACAGATATGCTTAGTACAGTAAGTTTGTAATGATTGTTGAATTTATGGATTGATTGTAGTTAGATAATCATTTAAAATCACAAATTACTGGGTAACAGTTTCATTCTAGTGCTTCCTAGTTTTCCGCGGTTGTCTAACTATGATCTTCTTATGATGTAAACTGTGAGAATGTACGTATTTGTTTTACTTACCAGTCAATTTATCATGTATATTGATTTATAACATTAAATGTTATTTCTCGACATTAAGGCGGCGTTTGACTCTGTTGATCGTGAGGTTCTATGGCAGTGTTTGTCACTGAAAGGAGTACCAAAGAAGTACATTAACCTTATAGAGGCTCTCTACTCGAACACATCTGGTCGAGTGAGAGCTTATGCCGAACTGTCATCAGAACTGACTACCTCAAGTGGTGTTCGTCAGGGCTGTCCACTCTCTCCATTCTTGTTAAACTTTGTCGTTGACGTGCTTTTAGAGATAACACTTTCCACATCTGACTTTCCAGGGATTGAACTTCTACCGGGAGATCCACTTGTTGACTTAGAATATGCCGATGACATAGTTCTATTTAGTGAAGACGCTGACAGAATGCAGAGTCTGCTGACCACTCTAGGCAACAATGCAGGCATGTTCGGCATGCGATTTTCTCCCTCGGAATGCAAAATGTTGCTTCAGGATTGGGTTGCGTCGACACCCGAACTAGTGATAAGGAGTGAAGTAGTTGAGCGTGTCGACCGCTTTACTTATCTCGGAAGTCTCATCGGCCCTTGTGGTTTGGTGTGTGACGAAATCTCAGCACGGATACAAAAGGCTCGACTAGCTTTTGCCAACTTGCGTCATTTGTGGCGTAGGCGAGATATCTGTCTATCAACCAAAGGGCGTGTTTACTGCGCAGCAGTTCGTTCCATCCTACTTTATGGCAGTGAAACATGGCCAGTAAAAGTAGAGGATATTCGTAGGTTACTAGTATTTGATCATAGGTGTCTTCGAAACATTGCTCGTATATCCTGGGACCACCGAGTAAGTAATGCAGTTGTTAGGAAACGGGTACTAGGTAAGGATGGCAAATCAATTGAGGAAGTAGTGAAACTTAATCATTCTAACCATTCTAAAACGAAAAATGTTAAGATAACAGATTGTGTGTCTACGTAAATGATGTGAGGAGAAATTTCATTCAACTATATATATATTGTCTTCGGTATGTGTATATTAAGAAAACATATCATTTTATATATGATATGAATTAAAATGTCACAGCATGCATTAAATGAAGATAAATAAACAGGATAAAAGATTGAATTCAAAGAGGAAGAATGTATTTGTAATTGAAAGTTGTTGTTCATCCTTGTGTATTGGACCTTTGATTCTTACTAGTTTTGATCCCAGAGTATTGTTTGTTCGAAAGAATACTCTTAGATTCTGAAGAGTTAGAATCCTTCTGATCTCTTCTGAAATACCTTTACGATAAGGGATCAACACCGTGTTAATACATTCTTTTTGCTTAACTCTTTTTTTAATGATATCATTTTGCTCTTCATTCTTGATTATTCTTTTAATAAAACCCTTCGGTTAATTATTCATCATTAGAGTGGATACAATTAAATTCATTTCCATTTTTATATCATTTGGTTCAGTGACAAGTTTTTTGACTCCGGTTATCAAACTTTTGGCTACTGTCACTTTGGTAGAGTATGGATACTTAAAATCTAGAAATTTCCCTGAATATGTCGGCTTTCGGAAAATACTCATTTTTAAACAATCATTATACTTCCTTTCAACCAAACAGTCTAGAAAAGGTCATTTCCGTTCAGGAGATTCCAACTCTTTGGTGAACTTGATTTTGTGTGTTTATGTGTGTTTATGAAATCAAATGTAATGATTGTAATGCAATGTATGTAGGTGAAACATCAAGGCAATTGAATGTGAGTGTGAAGGAACACAAACTGTGCTTACAGCACATTCCTAAATCCTCAAATGATATAAAAAAACTTGAGAACGAATCAGCAATAGCATTACACTCGATTGAATCGGGTCATACAGTTGATTTTAATGGCGTAAGAATAATTCAAAAAGGCTTTAACTCTTACAAAGAACGACTAACAACCGAAGCCCTACATATATGGGCTAATTCAAACAGTATTAATAGGAGAAATGGAATATAATTAGCTGTCTCATGGCAACTAATAATTAATAAGTAAACCTGAACTCCTTATTCCATTCTATCTATATATATCATATTAACTAATCAATAGATAATACATTTAACGGTTCAAATCATTTATCGTATCTGAATATGTTAAACAATTGACGGGAGCACTAAAATAACACAAACTTTCAATTACAAATACATTCCTCTTTGAATTCAATCTTTTATCCTGTTTATTTATCTTCATTTAATGCATGCTGTGACATTTTAATTCATATCATATATAAAATGATATGTTTTCTTAATATACGCATACCGAAGACAATATATATATAGTTGAATGAAATTTCTCCTCACATCATTTACGTAGACACACAATCTGTTATCTTAACATTTTTCGTTTTTTCACAACACAAGTCCCTTACACACTTAAGTAAATACCTACTTCAAACAGGGTTCACGTTGATTAGATGTTTTTATTCAGTTTACAGTAAACCAGAGAAGCTTGTACCTATTTATATTCGATAATTTTGTTGTTTGATTATATTTTCCTTGAAAAAGCTTGGACCAGATTGCCAGGTGAAACGTTGGATTTACTTAAAATTCATTCGCTGAGATTTTACAAATACATTTTTCCTATTTAATGTCTCACATTAACTCGGTGCCCAAATATTGTGAAACTATTCGTTCAAATTTAGACGAAAGTTCTTATTCACTTGGTTGGTGTTTTACTTGTATTTTCCCATTGTTATTTATGACTGCAATTGATCAGTTTCATGTTGACATATGTGCATCCTGTGCGGATTGCCTCGATATAGCCTTAAGTCATAAGCTTTATAAACAAAGATGGATAGTGGCTAGCAATCGAGTCCAGTTTGACGCGCTTTTCGTCCTATTTTGGGACTCATCAGCTAAATGTACCTGCATCTCAGAGTTGATATTCGAGTTCCGAAGTAAACATCAAATCTGGGATGCAGGTACATTTAGCTGATGAGTCCCAAAATAGGACGAAAAGCGCGTCAAAGTGGACTCGACTGCTAGCCACTATCCATTTTTGATTGAGTTAATTGTATTTATATTTTTCTTGGCCTAATATCATGAGTTTCATCATTCAATAATGGAATTCACGTAACATATTATCATCGATGCTTGTTTTAACGATACCCCTTAAAAAGGTTATAATTAAAGGCAATTATCCTACTGATATTTAGTTTAGTTTTTTTTATTGTATATGATTGAATATGTAGAACATTTATCGTGAAAAACAAGTTTTTTATTTAGTTCTTCTTTTCTTTTCATTTTATTAATGATAAATACCAACAACCTCCATGAAGTATCAATTGTAATAATAAGATCTAGTATAATACACCTTCTTGCTACATCCATGCACACACACACACACACACACAAGAACTGACTAACAACCTAACCTTTCTATTTGAATTCTTTATAGATTTACAATTTACTAATAATAATTATTCAGTTAGTTAATTCATTTGTAATATTTCAACATCATGATTTTAGCTTCATTATCTATAAAGGTTATACATATCAGTTCATTCTACACAAGTAGTACTGGCATACAACTATAGTATTTATGTATTTGTAAACATATTTATATATAATGTGGCATAGAAAATTTAAAAGAAAAAAAAATAATGAATGCATTCATTCCAGCATGAATCATGTGTTGTTTATCGCATATTATCTCTTTGAATTTTCCTCTTTTCTCCCCGTTTTCATCGTTGTTGTTGTTTTTGTTGTTTGTTAGATTTTCCTTCACCTCTTTTCATTCATACTTTGATAATTACACATAATAAAGAAACAACACCAATGCCGATAACAAGAATGTTTGGTAAAAAGGAGAAAAAAAACAAAAACAACAACAACATCAACAACTAATAATAATAATAATAATAATAATAATAATAATTGACCCAGTAAAAAGCAGTAACATGTACATAATAAAAACCTAACACATAACATAAGTGTTACTTAATCTATAATTATTCACATATATTTTGTATAGTTAGTAAATGATCACATAAATTGTATTACCATTAATATACAACTAGAAATGTATGTAGTTTGTATAGATTAAGCCTTGTTACTATTCCTACTCTTAAGCATTTAACCAAATAGTTGTTTATTATTTGTTTGTTTGTTTTTTCCCCATGTGGAAAGTAAAACCAAATAAATCACAAAAAAAGAGACGTGAATAAACGAATTGATTTTTTTACGTGAACATTTCAAATTCATGATAAAATTACTACTTGAATAATGATTATAACAATAATATTATTTTCAATAATTGAAATCATGAGTCAATTGAAGCTAGACCATCATAGAAAACATGGAAGTACTAGACGGCTATTTTGTTCAAGTATAGGACTCCTCTTTGGCAGTGCGCATCCACGATACCGCCCCCTCCTTGCGAGATTTGAACCCAGGATGTATCAGTCTAGCTTCAATTGACTTATGATTTCAACTATCGAAATTATTAAAATCTCCACAAAACCCCTTCTGATAATAATCATCTGCTCACTAGTGACTGACTTCAAGAGGCATTTCCTGGAGTTCTAGTGAGAAGCCGTGACTAGGGGAGTTCAACTAGGTCTGTCGTGAGATATCAGCTTACTAAAGACAATGGTGTACGGTGGGGCGATTTCGTGGATTGGTTGAAGTTAGACATTAACACCGTTGGATGCCGGCTCAGTGGTCTAATGTTTAAGCTCTTGTGCGTGAGACTGATAGGTCATGGGTTCGTATCTCGCGGTGTGGA